CGAATGATTTAAAAATATCTGCAATATTATATATTTATTATTTAAGATTACCACGCAGGCAAAGTTTTATGAAAATTTGGTCGCAATACTGTATTTTTACTTACTATTCGTTAGAGTTGTGCCAACATAATAATAAATATCTTTGAAAACTTTTATATTTTTACATGAAGTCACTATATAAATTAAAAATAGATTCTAAATTGAAAAAAAAATGTTCGACACGGGCAGGACATGAACCGACACAGTTCAGTATGCTGTGCGGCTCAAGTCCTGCCCGTGTCACAATTTTTTTTTCAATCTAAAAAGGGATTTTTAGATATAGAACCCTGTTATAAATACTGTACGTGTAGTTCTTTATTAACTAAAGTACCTGACGTATCTAGGATCCAGAAACGATATTACACATTTACTATTGTTCTAAATAAATCTATACTATATATTATATCTAGCAGGACTTAGTACGATGTAAGAGACGTGGTGTACGTTACTTAGTCACGCTCTGTAGCCTAAATGTGAAGTTTGTAAACAAACACGATATTGTTGAGTTCAGTGTTCAAGTATATACAGATGTAAAGTTGTACTTATATCTCTTGCATCCACGTTCTGATGTGAACCAAAGTGTTTGGTACAGCTACAGATAAACAGCTCCATGGCTTTTTTGTTCCTACGACACCTTATTAAACTAGGATCGGTAATGAAGTTTATAATTTATTATTGTTTGCCAATTTTGTTTAATTTTAAGAAATTCCAATTAATTGTTCTGACCCCCGCTGTAGCCAAATGGTTAAACGTATTGCCTAACATTGCGTTAAACACGAGAGGTCCTGGGTTCGAATCCGAGGGAAACAAAAAATTTAAAGAATTCATGTTTTCTTTCTTCTTTCTTTTAGTTAGTCCCTGTCTTATTCAAGCCACGCGTGGAATCTCGAGTTATTAATATAAAATAATTGCAGATACATATTCGCGTGTGATATCAGCTTTGAACAGCTGTGCCAAAGCATTTACATTCTAACAATACGGTTTTGGCAAGCGACAACCGCGTTATTCCAGCACTTGTAGACCGTAATTATTGTGGAGTTCTGTATTCCCATACTTCCTACTTCTAATATATATAGATGTATAATATAATATATTGCTATAAAAATATACAAAACATGAAGATTATCAATACTAATGTATAAAGCTGAAGAGTTTTGTTTGAACGCGCTTATCTCAGGAACTACTAGTTAGAAGGGAAAAATTATTTTTGTGTTGGTTAGAGCATTGATCGAGGAAGGTTATAGAACATGCGCGATGCTATATAGTAGCCAAGAGAAAACGAGAAATGTGAAGACAACGGGGAACATTATTTATCCTTTTGGGTTTCAGCGTACGCAACGGTTTACCAAATAAAACAAATGAATACCCAAAAAAATGTACGAAATAATGATTACTGTTTAAATGGTCTTAAAAATTGTCCGCGATACCTATCTTTTCAGATTAACCTGCAAGAACGACGGGATGCGATGAAGAGGTTTGCAAAAACAAATTTGGATACCTAAAATAACAATTACTACGCGGGACGAAGTCGCTGACACAATTCACTCGGCACGAAGCGAAAAGAGGTTTTAAATCAAACCTTACAACCTAAAATACTGTTTATAGTTTACGCGAGTAGTACACATTTAAATAAAACACTTTAACGGTTTAAAACGCGATATATTAGTTAAACTTATTTGAAAATGATTTTTAACTTCGGCCCGACGTTTCGGATGCTTTGCAGCAGCCGCGGTCTCCCCGTGACCACGGTGTTTTATTTAAATTTTGAAACCTTTTAACGGGAATTATTAATTAATTATTAATTAATATGTACTAATATTAAAAATCGATTTTCGATTGAAAAAAAATTACGACACGGACAGGACTTGAACCGGCATCTAGTATCGTGTGTTACGCGTCATCGTTGAATTTTATTAACATGTTAATACTTGCAGCTCTCGCGCTTTTTTATATTATTAATCGCGCACCGTAAATTTCAACCTTAACACTTACTCGTTAAGGTTGAAATTAATTATAATGAATACAATCAATGATTAAACTTTGTTTATTTTTAAATTAATAGTCAACCTTCTACAATTGTATGGTCTAATAATATAAAAACTAAGAGAACATACGAGAATGACATTTTATTATTAAATGTAAAAGTCCGAACCTTTTATGCGGTAGCGTAGCTAGGCGGACAAGGGCCTCGATCAACCTACTGCTAGGGCCTAAGAAAGAATCGGGCCCTCATCCCCTTTTCCAGCCTAGCTTGAATTAAATGAATCTGAAATTATAAATAACAACAAGACAAGTTTATTCAAAAACGTTAAAAATCATTTCCTTTTACGTTTATGTCTTTCCAAAGATGAGGTTAGAGGGCCCCCAAGCGTTTCTGGGGCCCCAGGTGCATTGCACCACCTAGCCCTACGATAGAAAGCAGTTTCGAACAATCAAATAATGTTTGAACAACCAACCTCTTAATTAAGGACCGCGTCTGTAGCTAAATGGTTAAACGCAAAACCTAGGATTGTGTTAAGAAACGAGACGAGACTTCCTGGGTTAGATTCCTTGTAAAGCAATAGATAGCGCGCAGTCTGATCTACTACTTTAAGTCAAATCAATGAAACGGGCACAGTAATGTGTTCGCCCCATGCCCCAACGGGGGAAACGGGGTTTCACTTTGTATACAAGTGAAGTCTTTATTAATTGATTTTTTTGTACCGTTCGATTTATTTTAAAGGATTGCCTCATAGACAAATCTCGTACACAATAACAAAATTCCAACTTGCTAGAATGACGTTGAGTCGTTAATTTTGATCTAGCGCAAAAATAACCTATTCCGAATGACCTCTGAGCGAAGGCGATATATATTTCCCACTATCTGATTCATGTTCGGGAGGAAATAGAATTTTGTCAAAGTCTCTGTGACGGAGTAACGATTCAATCAATATTATGATCAAACTAGCTGATCAAGCAAACGTTGTTTTGTTGTTTGCAAGATTAGAATTATAAACGTATTGCCTACCATTGCCTTCACCGCAAGAGGTCCTGGATTCGAATCCCAGGGAAACAAAAAAATCGTTTCGGCCGGGCAAGGCACATACGTCTGATCATCTACTTGCCTGTTAAAGAACGGATCAGTGAAACGGACACAAAAAGTATCCGCCCCACGTGCCCGCATGCCCCACGAGGGGGAAACGTGATTTGATTATCATAACAACAAGACATACTATCATAGTCATATTTTTAGATCATTTTAAGGGGAATCATTCTCTTATATTTACTTTTGGATTTCTTGAACCGTTTTCGCAGCACATGTAACTGAAGCCCTCAGAGATGAATAACTTTCCTCGTTTTATCCACGATGGCAACTTGTTTTATAGCCTTAAGCCTGGTGGTGATACGGCGCACGTCTAAAAAGACGCGCTGGCGGCCTTTTTTGGCTTAAAAAGAGAGAGCATTTACGCAGAGTTAAGTCCAGTATTGCAGCACTGCTGTCAAAGAATTTAAATATGGTACTACCTGCATATATAAGTTTGTTGGTAATTGTTAAGAAACGATTTATTTTCGTAAATTTGTTTAGGAACCTCCAACCATCAGAGTTAAAGATAATTAAACTATAAAAGACCAAGGTACATCATACTGAATGAAAAAAAATATAAAAAATAAGTATTTATTTGCTGCCCATATGCTTATAACTTGCATGACAAGTTCACCTCACTAATATTATAAATGCGAAAGTAACTCGGTCTGTCTGCCTGTCTGTCTGTTACTCTTTCACGCCAAAACAACTGAACGAATTTGAATGAAATTTGGTACAAACATGGTCTAGACCCTGAGAAAGGACATAGGCTATCGATTATAATCGCTTTTTATTGCGAAAAGGGAGTTGTAAGGGGTTAAAAGGGGGGGTGAAAGTTTGTATGGAAATTCGTTTTTTTGAAGCTAGACCAATGAAACCTTCTTCTTTGGCTTTTTGAGAAAGGAGTGGGAGTTAGAGTAGGAGTGACGTAAGGTGAGAGTGTTGCGGCAAAGTAGCACTTTCAACAAAGATTCTCTGCGCTAAATGCGCAATTACATAAATTAATAAACAGCCTAAATAATTAAAAATTCTACCCCAAGTCACTAGATATTCCACGCGAACGAAGTCGCGGGCACAGCTAGTAGAAAATAAATAAACAAAAATTTAAAGTTGTGAACAGTGGTTCACCCGGACGGTATTTCGATATTTCTATTTTCTACCACCCATTTTAATATCCAGATGTCCAACGTGTTTCGGAAAAAATATAAATTGATTAGAAAAATGTTGAACCCGTTGGGGATCGAATGTTGACCCGTTGATTACCCTTACATTGTATGTAATGGTAGACACCAACGAGATGGTCGAGATGATAATCGCCATATTTTCTCGTGAAATTGTGGAACGGATACAATGTCACCTTGAGAAGCGATCCGTCTATTCGGTTGTTGCCTGGCGTCGGTCCAATTCGATGTAGGTCGAATGATGCTGCACGTTTTTCGGGCGAACTTCAGCTTTCACGTAAATATGTACACTGAAATATTTGTAACGAACAATTGTAATGTTGCGTAATATTAAAGGAATAGTTGTTAAACGTTTGCTACATTAAGTATTTATTGAGTATGAAAATTTAACGGTTTACAACGCGATTTATATAAGTCATAATTGGAAATCACTTTTCCCGATGTAAATCCATTATAGGCCGACAGCGCATCTCGGTTAGATGTTATATGACTGGGCTATTTCAACTCTCACCAAGGAAAGCCCGCGCTTGTGTTTAAAAAATATTTATTTCAAATAACGAAACATCGGGCCGTTATTAAATAATTTTAACTCCAAATAAGTTTAACTACTATGTATCGCGTTTTAAACCGTTAAAGTGTTTTATATTAATGTGTACTACCCGCGTATACTACAGACAGGATGAAAATGTATGTTATAGCTTCGGCGTACATGCACAATGCAGTTAAGAAGTCAAAAACTTTTCGATGTTAGTTACGTCCGTTACGTTGGGAACCATAGCGCTTAAATAATGTGACTATGAAATATTTTATTTTGATAAATAATAAGACAAATATATTTCGACACTAGTTGTGGCCGCGACTTCATGTGGAATAGTTATTTTAACCATCAATATTATTTTATGCCTCGCTTTGCCAATACAACCTGACTGTCGTCAAAGTCCCGTCGTTCTCGATCGGTTTCTTGAACCCTGAGAGTTTTGCTTAGAGATAATTTTATGAAATAAATTTTTAGTTTTATACTAATTTGCCACTGCTTCTTTGTTCGTGACATGATATTATATATCCTAAACAGTTCCGCGATAAGTGTTCTAATCGACACAAAAATTAAATTTACAATATTAGTAAAGATGATGGTTACTTAACTAAAATTTAACGGTGGCAAATAGAAACTGTTCCCTTTCTTTTAATGACTAATATTTTGTTTTATTTATTATTATTACTAACACAAGAAAGCAAATCTACCTGGTTTTAAAATTAGGGTAGATTTAGAATTTTATTTACTGAGAATAAGAATGCAACGACTATTGGCATAGACTGTAAAACTGATCATGCTTTGTTAGACTGTTCCATTAATACCGTATCGTAGAATCATCTCCGACGCTATATTCTTATCGAAATTATTACAAAATAAAATTGACTCTCCCCAGCTATTACACCAATCCAAATATCCTCGCAAGCCCTCAACCCCTCTTCGTACTCCACTACATAGAACTGTGTTTGGTGCCAATTCGCCACTATCGAGATGTTGTCAAGTTGCAAATGAGCATAGTCACTTAATCGATCTACACCTGGATTCACCCAGAAAACTTAGTAATTTGTTGTCTTTAGCCCTCTCAATTTAATTTAGTTATATTATAGTCGTATATCTTAGTTATAACCTTTTCAATGTCTCCTTCTTGTACAACTTAGTCCTCACTTTGTCTTTCCCTTGCATGTTGTGTCTGTCTATAAGTGTTTTACACAATTTTGTTTTGTTTTTTTGCATATTTTAAGTTTAAGCTACTGTAATTGTGATAAAATGTCGAGAGTCCTTTCCAAATAAATAAATAAATAAATACAAAATAAACTATTTATATTATTTAAACTACTCATATGACGAATTATACGTTTACAAGTGGTCGAATCGTGTCGAAATGCGATTACAGTATGAAAACTCAATTAATTATAACTGATGTCGATTCTACTCATATGTTTAAAAATAGAATGAATTCCGGTATTAATTATAAATGTTCTATAAATTGTAACGATTATTATACATTAGTTACGTACAATGTATTAATCGATTTTCATACACGATAAGTGTGAAATCCCGTTTTCCCGTCGTGGGGCATGGGGCGAACACATTTCTGTGTCCGTTTCACTGGTCCGTTCTTTAACAGGCAAGTATTTGATCAGACTTCTGTGCCATGCCCGACCGAAACAATTGTTTGTTTAGGCGAAGGGGGGAGTCGAACCCAGAACCTCTCGCACTTAATGTTAGGCAACACATTTAATTTGGGAACAGAGGCGGTATGAACCACGATATGTTTCTCATTATTTCTGGCTTTTTCCCGCAACTTTCTGAGAAAGATGATTTTAGACGGAATTTTTTATAAATACTCACAAACTATACACATATTTCTAATTTCTAATATTAAGATGAGCCTTAGAATTTGGTGTCGATTACATATAATAAAATATAAAGAACTTTGATATTGTAAATGTATGGGTTGGACCACCTCCGTAGCTCCGCGCTTAAACGATTGCCTAACCATGTCTAAAGCCAAAATAGGTCGACCGCGCATCTAAATTAGATGTAAGAGGGCTGGGTTATTTCAACTTCTATAAGTATTTGTCTGTCCTAAAGTCATTAAAAGAAACATTACGAGTTGGGGGCTTGGTATTACAAATCTGGGAGTTTGGGGATCTTGGATGCGCTACATTTGATCTAAAATATAGTACGCTTTCAAGAGTGCACAAATTTGAAAGTAGGGTCGAAGTTAATAATTAATTTACGTATATATTGTGCGTTTTAATCCGTCAGAGATGTATATACCTACTACAGCGGGTAGACTGATTAAACAGGATAGGTATATAACGATATAATATTTATAGGTACAAAATAGTTTAATACTAACTTAAAATGATTGCGAAAATTCGCCGCGGAAAATCCCGCACTCCCACAGACGGCTATAAAAACTTTACGAACACAAAGTATTTGGTTTATTTTTCAGGATGCGATCAGTAAATTAGACGATTACATCACATTTCTTGGCGTTTATCAGTTAAGGCTAAGATTTTATATTCTAGAAATCTAGATAACTCGGAAAACTTTGTTTTTAATAACAAAAAATACCTAACTTATGTTTTGTGTGGAAAGACATGGTTTGTGGATAAAAGACAGTGGAAGTCTATAGACGATACGGAAAACTTAAAAATTAAAATGAAATAACTAGAAATTGGTGTAAAAATACTAACGGACCAATAATTTTAATAAATACACCTCTTATAGGTGGACCATGAACAACCCTTATCTGTTATGACTCAGCAATATCAGACATACTGAACCCATATACAATATACATAGTAATGTTGAGGTATACACAGTGGCGTAACTATACCGATCGAGGCCCGTTGCAAATTCATCGAATGGGCCCTCCCACTTCCCCAATATATAAAGAAGCTGAACCAACAATTGAGATTTTCTCTGACCGGGGGTCCCTTCGGGCCCCCGTGGCATTTTGCCGACTTGCCACCCTATAGTTTCGTCACTGGGTATACAAATAATCCGAATTATGCATAAAACTAATCTGTGTATATATTTTCATATTTATGGTAGCGCCATCTCTTGCGCTTCTTTTAAACTATTTATGTAACTAAAAGGTCAACAACAGTTATTATTAACGACACTAGAATGTTTCTGATTTTTATTTAACCCGTTAGATGTCACTATAAGCAAAACCAGTTTTATTTTCGTTTGTTAATTGATTTTAGTAATTATGAGAAAAGATTAATCCTTTAAAGCTCTTAACAAGCAAATGATTATATTTAAGCCCTTCATTTTAATTTTACTTTCACAAATAGAGCAGTCAATCAAAAATCTCTCGTCACATCATATTCGAGTCAATCAAATATTGAAAAGACGTCCATAATATTGATCAAGATGTATCCGGGCGCGTGAGTTATTCCCAGCTTGAGGTGCGCGGGGCGGCGGATTCGGAACGCTCCTACGCAGCGGTCAGTGTGTCGGCGCGCGTCGTCGCCGCTATGGGCAACCAACACTCGACGTCCCACGCTGGCCTCAAGCCCAAGAAGAATGTCCACTGGAAGTCCGCAGGTAAACATCCCATCCACCCCACAGAACAGCCACATACTAAGACGTCACACGTGCACAGCACATGCCACCTAGCCTACACATCTATTTTTAAAACTGCCCGCCGTGGTCTCAAGCGTGCCACAACAAAACAAATCGTGAGACGTTTCGCGTTCTAGTAACGATAATCACATGTCTAATTTTGCAATGCCAAATCAGTTTGATTTGAGTGATGTAATAAGTAATCTATATTTTAATAGCTATCTACTAATTTTCAGGTCGACCGGCGGTACCGGGTAAACCAGATGTGATTCCAATACCGTCGGATGAGGAACCGAACGCTATAACTCTCCGGTGGAGGCCCTCAGTCCACGATGGCGGTGCGCCATTGCGAGGCTACCAGGTCGAATGCAATCGCCTCGGCTCCCCCGATTGGGTTCGCACATCCCCACCAGTGGTACTGCGCCCCGAGCTCGTGCTGTCAGGTCTTGAACCGCCGCACCGTTACCAATTCCGAATAGCCGCTATAAACGCAGTCGGCCGTTCTGAATACAGCGAACTCTCAGATGTATTAACCGTTAACTCTGATCGAATTCAAAACGAACCACCCCTCTTCCTCCAGCACTTAGAGGACGTCATAGCTTTAGAAAACGACAAGACGGAATTTCGAGTTTCGTTCTCCGGCATTCCCATACCAACGATAGCTTGGTTCAAAGATGATTACGAAATATTTAGTAGTAGACGGACAGCGATATCCAGCACGGAATCAACTAGTGTCCTCATATTTCATCAGACTCTTTCCAGCGATGAAGGTGAAGTTAAATGTACAGCTACAAACCGTTTAGGGCACGCAGTGACCAAGGCGCGCTTAACCTTAGAAGCGGCGCCGAAATTGCGATATCCAAGACAATATGAAGACGGTCTACTCTACGAAATTAATGAAACGGTTTACCTAAAGACTTCTATTGTAGGCAAGCCAACCCCCAGTATAGAATGGCGTCATGATGGTCAACCGATTGTGTCTGACAGTCGCATCGAAATAACCAACACATCAAAGTTTTCCATGTTGAAAATACATTCAGCGAAACGTAGTGATCGCGGTGAATACCAAGTGCATGCAAGGAACAGCATCGGTGATGATACAGCTGCGTTCCTCGTTACGATTACCGCGCCACCCGATCCCCCCCAGCGAGTGACTGTCACTCGACAAGTAGATAAATCAGTGTCCTTAGACTGGGAGGCCCCTGAAGATGACGGCGGTTGTAGAATCGGTAACTACGTAGTTGAATACTACAGAACCGGTTGGAACGTGTGGTTGAAAGCCACAACCAGCAGAAAGACTAATGTTACGCTTTTCGATTTAATTGAAGGCAGTGAATACAGATTTCGGGTGAAAGCTGAAAGTCCATATGGTATGAGCGCACCGAGTGTCGAATCGGCGCCTATAAAAATACCAGGCAGGCCGGTCGATATGGAGTTCTTGGCTGTGGAGTCGAAGATAATAAACGAAGTACTTATGAAAGAAGATGGTGAAGAACCGCCCGTGTCGCCAGCGCCGCGAAGAAAGCGCGGTCTCGTTCGTTCCTCGTCTATCGTAAAATCAGAAGCAGGGCCACCTTCTGTATCGCCTGTACCACGTCGACGGCCCCGAGGTCCTACTCGTGATCCATCAGAAAGCAATGAATTTATGCTGGTCCTGTACCCGAATACTGATAAATCAGCGGCTAAAGCTGGTAAGCATACGCTACGCGTTTAATTATAATTTACTAGCGAATTTACTACCCGCCCCGGCTTCGCAGGGACGCAATGCTGGAACTAAATTTTTAATAACTACTAGATTTTTTTTTTATATAGACAGACAAGCTTTGAGTTTACTTGATGGGAGGTAAATAAGAAATAGCCCAGCCATATATTCGAAAATCCACTGACTAGAACGAAACGCGATTAAGCTTCACGGCTTTTTCATTTGTGCATAATGGTTTGTGACCCGGGGGAAACTTCGATATTCCTACCGCCATTTAACATCCAGATTAGCAGACGTAGTCGATCATGTTTCAGAAACATTAGAAACATGTTGGGCCTGATGGGGATCGAACCCACGGCTTGTTGATTACTAGTTTATTCAATGTCAATACCTCCCATCGTGCGAATCTTCCACCCATATTGCGAAGTAACTCTAACTATAAATGTATGTGCGTTTCTAAAACATTATTAATATATTTATCAAACATACAAACCTGCCTTATATAACACAAAATCTGTTGCGTACTTTTTAAGATTTAAGCGTACAGAGGGACGAACAGACAGCGACAGCGACATTCTTTCATATTATTTAATGATAGATTTGTTTAGGACACAGATTAAAATAACAGTAGTAAATAAATGTATTCGCACAAAATAACAGGACACTGCCCACATTATATTTATATGCTTTACGACCTGTAAGACCGTATAAAGAACGAGTAAAATCAAAATAGTAAAATAACAATAAAATAATCAAATAAAACCTTTAATGATAGCGCTTTTAATAAAACATTTGTTTTTAAATGTATTTAACAATAGGTGTTTAAAATTATTAATTTAACCTAACGCAAAGCGACTGTATCCAATACAAAATACTACAATTATCAAATTGTTGAATTTCGTCCAAATTTTGTTGTTAATGTTGCTCGTCCCCTATTAAGTTTATTGTGTATCGATCACAATGTAAGTTTTAGTTACCCATAAAATTTATTCCACTTGTATTTTACGATGTAATATAATATTTTTTAAACACGAGAAAGAATAGAAACTCGCTTTTTAGTAGTATTTTGCGTAAAAAACTAATTTAGCTTTGTTACTTTAAAAACAGCTTTGCGATATCTAATAACAACCGCAACTATTTAAAAGCAAACTGCAACTATTAAATAATTTAGTTTTATAATTTTCCCAAATATACCTATTAAAAATGTATTTACGTCTCTTTACAGAAAAAAGAAAATCATTTCAACTCGACCTCGAAGATGCTATATCTCCACCACCTATTTCTTTGTCAGCTCCCGAGCTGAGTTCCCGTTGCGTCATGCCGTTTAAAGCTCTTCGAAATGCAGTGAGCTCTACAGAACTGTTACACGAACAAGCTATGGCTCGTTTTTACAAAGCCGTAGCCTTAAAAGAAGAACAAAGTAAACAAAAAGACAGTAAAGAAAGAAGTCAAAACGGAAGGCAAAACACAACATCTCGCGACTTAAACGATGCGAACAATATCGTTTATGAACCACCAATAAAGCAACTTCCGGAAGTTAAACTAAAAACGCCAGATATATACATTAAAACTGATTCAATAGAAAATAAACACTATAGGTATGAGTCAGAAGACAGACAAGATTTACAAGAAAACGATAAATGGCAACAAATGTCTTTCGACGAAGACTATACTGCTAGCACTGTTTCAACGGGTGAAGAGTATTCAGACGAAGAGGCAGAAAGTTTGAATGAGGACGTAGACCGACAAAGTCAATATTCAAATGACGAAGAAACATACAATCCTAGAAACAAAGTTGCTCATCAACTTTCAGTAGAACGGTCTGTAGAACAAATTGAAGAAGACCCAGATATGGAATTCATTAAGCCATTACCTTTACCAGATCCTAATTTTGTCCCTAAACCTATTCTCAAACGACGAGATGCTGACATTTTACCACAAGTAGATAAATCTGAACCTGAAGAAAAAAATCTAGGCAAGCCGAAGAAAGAAGAAAAAATGAAACTTTTGAAAAAGTTTACAAAGATGCCAGTTCAAAAACCATTTGGTTTACCTAAGATATTAAGTAAAAAAGAGCCGAAGAAAGTCAAACAAAATTCAAATAATATAAAAGATGTGCCTACAACGCCCAGTAAAATAGACAAAATTGATGATAAATTTGACGACGAAGGTAAAACTGTAATTGATTATTATGGGAATATCGTGAAAGAATTTGGAAGCCATAGGAGACCGCATACTCCGCTATTACTTAATACCGAAGAGTTAAAACAAGAAGCTGAAAAACAAGAAATCAACGATACTAAACTGACTGATGACATTAAGCCTAAACAAACTCGTCTCATAACTGGAGAAACCTCTAATGAAAATAAAGTTAATTCTATTAATGCAAAAAAGAAAAGTGTTAGTAATAAAACATCGACAAAGGTAAAAAAGGATCAAAAACTTTCCCACCTAAGACCTAAAAAGAAAGATAAATTGGAATCCATTAATAATACAACTCCAAGCTTTACTCCTTCTGAAAATGAAGTGCATGTTCAATGTTTAAATAATACCCAAGTTATTTTAAGGAAAACCGAAAGAGCAACAATCGTTATACCAATAGACTATCAAAGGCTGGAACAAAAAGCAAAAAGAAATGTTAGGTCTGCCATTGACTACACGGTTGACTTGTGTTTATTAATGTTAGCATTTTGGGTATATTTCTTTAAAGATGAACGACTTGCAATACCTTTTCTTATACTGATAATATATCGACAGTTGCAAGAAACAATCTTACATAATATTCCCGAGTTGATACGCCGGTACTCTCCTAGCTGGCTAAAGAAAAAAACTTCTTGACCTCATAAAAAAGACAATTTGTGTATAATTATTTACAGACTAATTGTCGTGTGATATTGTAATTAAATTATTATCTGTTATGCCTGATTTTGTAATTTTCTTTTGATCTAGTAAGCCATGATTGTGCTATTTCTTTTTGGAGAGTCAATAAATTGTAAAATTACTTGTGTTTGTTTTAAATATGTTTAACATTCAATTTAGTAAACAATGTGTTCGGCGTATATCAGAATTCAGAATTCACCCCAATGACTGTTCCTATGTGAAGCAAAGAAAAATACACGATCCCAAGGCCTGTGCTGTACGTGACAAAGGCCTTATACTTGGTGTTTACTACAATGAAAACGTTCAAGGGGAAGGAGCCATACTTACAGCGAGTGCACAAAAGTACGACAGTCAAACTAATGGGAAACTTTGGAAACAACTGAAATTGACACCGATACCAAGGTTAGGAGATTATAGAGTTTTCTTTGATTTAGATCCTGTTTATGGTTACGTTGCTGTTGCTGGTTTGGGAACTGAATGTTTAGCATTTAATAGAATTGAGAAAGTCGATGAAAGTAAAGAAGCTATCCGAATAGCAGCAGGGGTAGGTGCGAATGCCCTTTTAAAATTCAAGCCATCTGAACTCCACGTAGAGTCGTTCGGGAACGCTGAAGCCGCGGCAGAGGGCTCGAATCTGGCCGTTTGGAAATTTCAAGAGTATAAAACCCCCAAGCATCACCAAGTTATACCTAAATGTAAAGTGGACTTATTCGACGACTGCGACGTCTTCGGCTGGAATATTGGTAAATTAAAAGCGGAATCCCAAAACTTAGCCAGGTACCTCCAAGAAATGCCACCGAACGTCCTGACACCGACATCATTTGCAAAATTAGCCGTGGACTTGTTATGTGAATTAGACATAAATGTGGAGGTGAAGACAAAAGGTTGGGCGGCTAGTCACGAAATGGGAGGGTTTGTGGCTATAGGCAAATCATCCATTCAACCACCGTTGTATGTTGAAATTAGTTACTATGGCACTGACGAGCAGACTCGTCCGATAGTATTAATTGGTAAAGGTGTGACTTTCGATAGTGGAAGCTTAGATTTGAAGCCGAGGAAAGACTTACAATTCATGAAGGGCGATATGGCTGGAGCGGCGTGCGTGCTAGCCATAACCAGGGCTGCGGCACTACTAAAATTACCAGTGAACATTCGTGGCATTCTCCCACTATGTGAATTAATGCCTAACGGAAAGAGCCCGAAATTTGGAGACGTGGTTTACTGCGCTAATGGAAAGTCAATTCATATTCGCATGCCGTCCAGGGAAGGTAGACTTTTGGTCGCCGACAGCCTAGTTTACGCTAGGAACTATTGGCCGAAGTTCATTATAGATATAGGCACAATGTCCAAAGAACTGATTTACACCTTGGGCGGTGCAGCTTGCGGTTGTTATTCGAACTCAGAGGAGCTATACAAGTACATAGAGGCTGCTAGCGGGCAGACAGGGGACAGAGTATGGCGGATGCCCCTTTGGAATTTCTATGAGGAGCGAGTCAAGGATTGCGAAGTGGCAGATGTGGCGAATACAGCCAGATACGTTTATGGAGACTCGCCGAATTGTGCTGCTTTTCTCAAACAATTCATTTGTGACAGCAGCTGGTTACATTTAGATACCTTCAATGTGACGTACACCAAGGGTCGAGATTTTCCTTACCTGAACCGCGGCATGACTGGACGTCCGACCCGAACCGTTATTGAACTCATGTTTCAAATGCTGTCTGATTCTAAGTTATAATCCGTTTGTTTATATGGAGGTTTTTACTGATAATAAAAACATATACAGATAAAATTTGCTTTATTATTAAACAAGGTATAATTTTTAATCATAAAAGGAACATTAATGGCACTAGATATAGTAGACAATATAATAAATGCGTGTAAATGCCAAGTTTAGTACAGTCAGAAAAACAATCTTAGCCTACTAAAAATATATGTTTTTTATGACTAATATATATGACACATAACTTTATTACTGAATACTAAAACATGAATATTTGTTTTATTTTTAGGTTTTTAATTATTTTTTTAAAGTTTACAATTTAAAAGGCCTTTCATACATGTAAGACAAATCTTATAAAATATATTCTTCTTATGTTACTTCTATAAAAAATCTTAAAAAATATGCCTTTATATTTTTAGTATGGCAAATTAAACTTTTAATACACAACAAAATAGAGATTTACTTATATAGTAAAATTGTATTATTAATAATATCATGTCGATTAGAGATTCATTAAACCAATCAATAAGTATAAACAATATCTTTGGTAATAGGTCATGGCTAATACAAATATAATTATCATTTTCTCGTATCAAAAAGAACTTTGAACTCCATGAACGATATTTTTCTCGTCTAGTAAACAAGACTGTAATGCTGTATAACTTTAGGTATAATAAACGAATTCATATAAACGCTTATATTCTTATTTAATGAAAATATTTTTGTGTTTACGCGAGTAGAACACATTTATAAAACACTTCAACAGTTTAAAACGCGAAATGTATTAGTTAAACTATTATACAAAATTTTTACCCAGCCAATGTCGCCTCGCCATCTACGACGGAACAGGTGGCTCCAAAGGAAAAAATTTACGCTAGGTAGATGTTTTACTTTGGAGACACTGTAGTTAAAATATTTTTTTAATAAGTTTAACTAATATATTTTGCGTTATAGCCGTCAAAGTGTTTTATTTAGAATAAACGATGTTAAAAACAATACAGACTGCGCACTATTGCTTCATATATTTATGTAATCTTTTTATCGCCTATTGAAGTAATCTAGTGACAACTGACAATATAAAATATCACAGATTTCCTATAAAAGAGAAAAATATCACTGCACCCAATTTTTTGTACGAGATTATGTAATTTAATGACTTCAAAGCACGGTATTTAAATTTTACAATTCAATTCTTACGCCTTTTGGATTCACAATGCTGGAGTCTTCGGTATCGCTTATGTAACCTTCTTCACCGGTGTAATGTGTGGGGTGTACCAGCAAAGGCGCTGCAGAGAGGGCTTTCAGATTTCGTTCGGGGAAATGTCTGACCCATTCGGTCCTAGAAACAAATACGAACGAATAAAAATATACTATGTATGTCTCAAATAATGCTATTATTCTGCAGCGAAATTTGAAGGGATACCGTGAGAGTCAGATAGCCTAATGTTCTTCGCAAAGGGGAATAGATAAACGGGTTAAGTGGTGAGCAAATGGCGTGGACTGATCGGGCCTTATATCGTTGTCCCCATTAGAAAATAATGCCTCAAATAAAAAAAGAAATTTAATTTAAAACCTGTATCTTTTATGTTTAAATTACAGCTTTACACATATTCAAAAATCCACAATTCGTGACACGGTTGGAATTTTTAAATAAAACACTTTAACGGTTTAAAACGCGATATGGGCCGAAGTTAAAAATCATTTTCAAATAAGTTTAACTAATATATCGCGTTTTAAACCGTTAAAGTGTTTTATTTAAATGTGTACTACTCGCGTAAACTATAGACGGTTGGAATTTCTATATTTCTATCGATTTATAATCCAAATTTCCCGACAAAGTTCAATATGTTACAGAAATGTGAAAGTGGATCCAGTAGGGATCTAACGCACGATCCGTTGTTAAAACACTGCTAACATTACACCAAGGAGCCCTTCAAATGTGGCAGAGCCGCCGGTCATTAGAGGGAGAGGTGGAAATAAGTGAATATTAATATTAAAAAAAAAATCTAATATAATATCAATCAACTTCTATGTGAGTCTATAAAGTTATAATGATATTCCTGACGAGTTTGTTTGAACTAGCTAACTTCGAATCACAAAATCTTTTTGTGTTGGTTGGACCATTTTTGGAGGAATTTATTATATTATAATGTAAAATATAATGTAAATAAATGGAGAAAAAGCGAGGAAAATGATCTCCCGTTGCGTGAGTTGCTAAAACGGTAAAAAAACCACTCCACGCGAACGACGTCGTGGGAACAGCTAGTCATTTATGACTACCGCTGTTTCTTCGCTATTATTAGTCACAGCTTGATGTTTTGTAGCCTATAGCCTTCCTCGATAAATTCAATTCGAGCTAGTAGTTCCTGAAATTATCTTGTTCAAACAAACTCTTCAGCTTTATATATTAGTATAGATTAGTAAAATACTCACGTTGGATGCTTATCGAACATGATAGGTAAATATTCGTCAACTGGCACAAGTTTCGACAACGGTTCACCCGCAATCAGCTTCTTCGCCCCACTTTCTCGTAGAACATACCCGAGTGTCCAGTATGAGTAAAGAGGTTGTGTTGTATGATCCGTAACAGCGACCTCCTCGTTGTCCATGAGAATCTTGCGGCCTATGTAACTAGAAGACAGAAACGAGACTTAGACTGTCTGACTTGCATTAAAAGTAGGACACAGTAGCTCAATGGGTTAACAGCACAGAACGTGATGACGCCGGTTCAAGTCCCGTCGGTGACGTTAATTTTATCAACCTAAAAACGACTACATACTGTATGTTCACTCTCATGTAGTCTCTTTAAAATTAGCCAGTATTTGTCGTAAAAAGTAATTGACAAAAAAAATTAATTGTGGGATATGCATAAGAGACATTATCACGAAGTTCTGTGTAGACTTTGTGAATGTGTACAAAAAAAATATTTTATTACGACGTCGCATTAAAGACCTCAAATATGTATAAATATACATGTCTCTATCTATTTAAACAAACCGCAAAAAAATCGTATCGTTGCGTAGTTTTAAAGATTTAAGCGCACATAGGGACCGAAAAAGCCACTTTGTTTTATACTATATAATGATATTTCTTCATTTACGAGGGTCCTCGTACACCAAACTATGCTACTGTGTAATATATTATTTGGAGTTGCTACTCTCTCTTCTCTTGCCTTCTATTGCTTATTTCATGAGTGCAAAGACTACTTACACAAGATCCCAATCGAGGTCCTTTATCTCCTCCATCATGCGAAGGAACTTCAACTTGAAGAATGGCACAAAATGTATATCATCTTCTAATAACAGGGTTACAGCATAGTGATTATCGACGATCTGTAAGAAGTACGTAGGAAGTATAAAGTTATGGATGTGGCGTTACGAAACAAAATATAGGTAGTTTTTTTATACAAAATTTTATGTATAAATAGTAAAGCAGAGTACCAGAGACAATAAAAAAGTAATAACCTTAAAAGACTCATTGCATACTCTAATAATCTAAATACAAATAAGTTTAATCTATGGTAGAAGCACGTCATAATAAACAGAACTATAGACTAAAATTTATAAAATATCTTTTAAATAATGGCTGGATAGAAAAGAAACTAAGACATAACACAAACAAGTTTAAAAACTTAATGAACAAATTTATAAACACCTAAGTGTTTGAAGACTGATGTCAGTACACAATAAAACATAAAAATTATAAATGCGTTATTCCTGAATATTAGACATAATTAAGAGTATAGAGATAAAAAATAAAAATATAGCTTATTACTAAATATACCTTTATTACTTAAATTAGTGTTTATTTGATATATAGGAGAGGCTTACCTTTTTCCAAATCAGGTAGTGGCTCAAAAAACATCCAATCTCACCAGCTTTCATTGGTCTGGAAAAAAAAGGCTATCTTAGTTCAAAAATATAATTAACCTTATATTGTCAATCTTGTTTGAAGTAATTTACTATAGATAAATAACTACAATTTTCTATACATCTACAAATATCTTTAAAAATATTGAAATAAAACTTTTTCTATTTCATTATTATTATTATTCAGAATTTAACTTTTTACATAAATAAATGCAAAATACCTTTTGTGGTATGGGTCTTGATAAGTTGGTAGTAAGGTAATATTATATTTCTGCATTACATCCTCAGTCAAACTCCTGAAATTACATAAAACATTGTGTTACATCACTGTGTTATTCTTTATAACCTTATATGTTTTAATATTATTAATGGATTCCTATTTAGACACTTTCTAGAATCTATGAATTTATTGGACACATAAATTAAGTGTTATTTATTATCTATGAATATTCAATTGCATAATTTCTAATTAGCACATAATAATCATATTATAGTTAAAGATATTTATGACTTTTGTTAGTACATAATAAATCAACTCATTACTATGACTTTTGTTTTGTTATTCCGATTGTAATAAATATACATTTGAAACAAAATAAAACATTAGAAAATTCTATTACGGTCGGTTTTTGGTTGCTTAAATTAAAATTTACTTGTTGCCTTAGTTGAGTATTTATTTTGTATACCAAATGTTGTACTAAAACTACTAGTAATAATCAAAAACATAGTGGTACTATTTATATATAAATTAACAATCAAAACCTTTTACATATATCATGTATTGTATATTTCTTAAGCATTAAGTAATCTATATTATTGTAAAAAGTATCTTATTAAAGTCACACTTACTTTCCATCCACAGCTTCAAATAATGTTACATCCAAACCCAGCTCTTTAAAGCTCCTTTGCATTATAGCCCGTCTCTCCTCTCTTCTTGCAAGATTAATCATAAAGATTTCTGTTAAACCTAGTTTAGTATATGCTGGATATTCAACATACTTCTCAAGATCCTTATACAGAGGCAATTGTATACCGTGTCCGAGTACCTCCATTTTCACATTAAGTATATCCTCAGCATCGTCATCTGAATCCCCATTTTCAAGCGGCACAGGTATGAAACCGTATATATGGTCATTACATATATACATGTTTATTCCTGAGAAAAATTTTATATAGTTGTTAGGGTTTTGCTTTTAAATTTTTAGGTTAACTTGTAAAATTCATTTATGATATTTACTGATTTAAACTAAATATTCAATTTAAATAATATATTTGTGTATATATTGTTTTCCACACTATAAATGGGATATTTTAAATAAAGATTGCTTTTTACAAGGTAATGCAAAATCATATTGTTCATTATTTCAAACAACTTAGGTACGCCCAAACTGATCTAAACGTTTTGCCTAGCATTGCATTGAGCGCGAGAGGTCCTAAATTGGTTCCTAAATGTTTTCCTAGGTTCGAAACCCAGGAAAACAAAAGAAATGTTTCAGTTGGGCAGGGCACAGAAGTCAACTACTTGCCCGTTAAAAGAACGAATCAATGAAACGGGCACAGAAATGTTTTCGCCCCATGCCTCACGAGGGGGAATCGGGCTTTCACACTTTAAACTGATCTAAAATGTTTGAAAACAGTTTGTATAGTAGTTTGTATTTACCACTTGTTTTTGCCCCTACAGCAAATGCAATAATATCATCCTCTGGTCCCTGATAGTGTTTAACATTGTCTGGTACATATGTCAACATATCTGAATCTTTAAAATTCAAGTTGATCAAAACAGCTGTATGCACCATCGGCACATCAAAACATCCGACTTCCTTTCTTTTCAAAATAGGTCTATATTCTTCTGTCCGTTTATAATAATAAAATTCATCCATTCCACACCTGGTGATGATTCTTTATTGTTAATATTAGTTTTATGTTGTATCAATTCACAACTTTGCAATACAATACTTACCAGAAATTTGAGTAAACTCCATCCGATATTAACATCGGAGCAGCTATAGGTAATTCTTTATTTATAAGATATTTCAAAATTAATGGTTCTGTTAAAAGAACATCAGCGTCAAGCATCTAAAATTGTTAAATAAATACAACTGAATTTTAGGTAAGTTTATCTTAGAAAAATTATCAAATATCTTAAAATAATCAGTGATAGGATAGTCAAAGGTAAAATTTGTATAGCATAGCACATAGTGGTAAAGATTCTGTGGAGTCTCGTGAATTATACTAAAAGGGTTTTGTTCAGTGTGAACAATGATGTGTGTGAAACTAGAGTGTTTGTAAGAAATATAACCAATCAGTAATAGAGACACAAAAATATAGCAACATTCCCCAGCCACTTATGGGATTTAACACATATAATATAATAATGCTAACTCATAAAGACTCACAAACACATAATCAGCCCAGACACCTCTCGCAAAATTTAAAGCATTCTCCCTTAGTTTTATAACATGCTTGTATCTTAGTACACTCCAATGTGTTATAGACTCTTGGTCTTCATGCATCACATCAGTTGTTGCGTTTGTTGTAATATGTACTTCTTGGTATGCTGATGAGTACTTATCAACCCAATCATTTAAGATGTCATCACTTTTATCAGAGTTATAATCGCTGTAGACCCTGTGAATGTTTAAAATAATGAATATGGACTTTTTGAACAACCAAGACATTGTACAAAATTTCTTACATCTTACAAACAAAACAGAAACAAAAAACTAAGCTTACCATACAATAATTCTGTCCTTAGGATAGTCCAAATTTGATAAACACGATAAGAAATAGGGCAAAGAATTCGCTTTATTGCGAACAAGAACTGTAATAGCAACAGTGGGCCATTTCTGAAGTTCGTGTTTGTATTCCACACTCCCATAACACAACGGTATTGATAACAGAAGTACACACACAATTCTCATAGTCAACGCCATAATTATATATATCAATATTTGATTTGATTTACTAAAATAACTTAGAATTGTTGTAAAAGTCAACAAGTAATAACCATTGATTGATCACAAAGATGTTAATTAATAAAATCAAACATGTCCAACGCGTTACAACAGTAAGACAAAAAACCTTATCAAAGCATTGATAAACCTAAACATTTAAAAATGTAATTAGAAATAAAGAAAATTTGACGAGCTTGTTTCGCGGTTATTTATTATTTTGAATTTGGTTATCTTAGCACAGATACTATAATAGACAAGTAGAATGGGCACAGATATATAATATTGAGGAACCCAGGGTAAAACTATTTTTGTGTCTGTTCAATGAATCGATGTCATACAATTACCAAATAAATTAATTAAAAACAAGTCGGACTCTCCCTCAACTGAAAGGGTTCCGTACCATCGAGCAGGGAACAAATTTCACATTGTTTTTTTTTATTGTTATTTAGAAGGTAAATATGTTAGTCGCCACCGGTGGTTGCAAAAAAACTCATTTACTTAATAATTAATTTAATAAAAAAAATATTACATTTAATTAATCCTACTTGTCTTCCTGTGCACGATGCATCAGTTCGACGCTTACAATTATATTCCTACATCTAATTAATTCTAGGTGTCTCTGACGCTTACAATAATTCTAATGAATATCTTATACTAAAATGGGTACGGCAACAGTAGCGTCACATACCGATCGCACGGGTATCAAATACGCGCACTATCAGCACTTTCCCCGTAGTGGCACAGCTTAGGGCTGTCGCCTAATAAAGTACAGCTTAGGGCCGGCACATAACAAGGTATATCCAGAAAAATAGGCAAAATAGTAAATGTTTGTACGCAGCTGCCTTTTGATATCAAAGGATACATAATCTAATGTTCACAAAGGACTCTGTTTGTCCTTTGTGAACATTTCAAGTACTTACCTTGCTATTTTTTGTTTATAACAATAATACCATAGGCCATGTATTGGTAAAAGGAGCCATGGCTTTTACGTCTCGTGCGATAATCGGGCCTTCAACGATAGTCGATATCTAATTAACGTGGTTTCCACTGTCTAGAAGAAAAAATGGGCATAAAAGCGATTTGATTTAAATAATGCTCGGTCAACTAACCTACAGTATTTAACCTATTAAGCTATAAAAGACAATGTAATAAATGAATACCCACCTATATAAAAACAAAAAAGAAAAGAATGTAAAGTAACCCCTGAAAATTATTAATTGTAAAGAGCAAAAAGTGGTAACGAAATAATGTTTGTTGCGGGGCTCTGTATAAATATTAGTTTTATGTTCAAAAAGGGACACCATACATTTGTGAAAAATACAACTTTTTTAAACAAATCCCAGTATTTTTGTTATTTGTACAGATAACAAAATCTTAATAATGGGCTTATATAGATTGATGATAAGAAGGTAAAATTTTTAACCTTCGAGTACGGAACTCTAAAAAGTTAAAAAAACCTTTGAAAATACACTAAATGTCTTCTTCATGAACATGATTTTTTATATAACACCATTGTACAGATGTGCTTGTGCTCGATACCTTCTGTTGCTCTTACCATAGTGTCTTGCTCATCCTTACCTGATTTGCTCCTTCTAAGTTACATTTATTGTATCTGTTATCTGGCCTAAGGTATAGTTAAGTTTACAGCATTGAACATTATTGCTAAGGATACCACTTAAATTATAATAGAAAAATCTAGTTGTTGTTTACTTTCGTACTTAAACATCTTTCAATGATGGGGATAAGCAGCAACTCTTTATGCCTTGCAAGAAACAAGCTTCCATCTCCTCACTGAATGCTCCATGTACTCAAAATTAAAGCACAACACATGAGGACTGACATTATAGCATAGGATAATATAAATTAATTAATGAAAGAATAGATATTAAGATTTAAAGAAACTGGAAGGTTTGAAGGGGAGTCAGAGTTGGATAACCCAGCCTTCTATCAGTGTACCCAATAAAAAAAATGTCTAACATTAAGTATAGTTATACTCTCCTATCAAACTGTACCTACTAATATATATATATATATATTTTTAAAACCCATAAAACTAACTATTACAAAGAGGCTAGAAATGTAATGTAGGTATACGTTTTGTATATACAACAAAATAAAAATACATGATTTTCAATTTGGTAAAAAGCCTAGCGTACATAAAACTATTTAAACTTATTAACCATAAATTATGGAACTCGGTAAATGAAAGACATTTATAATGCTAAATTATATTATAGAAAGGCACAAAACAAAGGCACTTTAACTTATCTCAGTCTTAATTTGTTACTAGAATAAGCCTATAAATCAAAAGACTTAAGTATTATACATAAATGTAACAGTAACAGTAAAGCAGTGTATAATATTACTCTTTACGTAGTAGTGGTAATAAATGTTATACAAAGTTGTCTATAATAGTATCACAGGAATAAAAGCACTACATATTGTACTGTTGACAAAAGACAAATAGAAAAGCTAGCTCAGCTCACATACATATAGTAAATCTAATGAAATTCACAAAACCTTAAGATCCATTCGTTTGTAGTCGAGATATATTTAATTAATCACATATTGTTAGAGACGTATTCTTGACGACCCAGAAGCCAACAGAATATGGTGGCATCCGAATGTGATTGTCATTAACACGTTGGTGGGGGTCAAAATCAGGTGTAGAAGACTCGTAGTACAACGGTTGCCCATTAAGAAGAATGACTTTAGTAAATCTGTCATTATGAGGAGCACTTATAACATATTCATCTATATTTAAATGATTTCCAGATAAAGCGGTTCCATTTAATAAAAATTTCATCTTCTTCATTTCAAGGTTGACAGCATAAATTGTTATTGCCGTGGTGTCATTAGTATACTTTCTATTAGCACAGTGAGCATACACTCGCTGATATCTAGAACAATGGCAGTTTATACGTAGCACTTTATTTCCAACAAGTTTTTTATACAGAACACTCACCCACCAATCTGGCAAAGGTTGTAAGTTTTTATCAATGAGACTATAGTTTCCACCATAAAAGCTTTGCCTAACCACAGTAGTGATGTTATTGCGAGCAGCAAGACCCAGCTTATCTAACCATAATGGTGTGCCAGCATATGAATTTGATAGTCCCGGTGCACCACCACCATACGAGCTACTAGTTTCCGTTAGCCACATTGGTATATACTCATATTCCTGCGTGTGACGTTTCATTGTTTGTATCTGTGTATCTAAAAGGTCAAAAGTATCCGGATCCCAAAAGTCTTCTAACTTTGCAGTTCTACTGTTCAAATAATATTGATGCCATGACCTAACATTTACATACTGAGAGGCATTGCCCAAAAATTCTACCATGTACTTCAGGCAATATGGCTGCCTTTCCTGTGGTCGTGTCGTGTCGGGTCCTATAAGCAATGAATCTTCATATCCAGATTGATTAAGGAGTTTTCTTAGCTTTTTGAAGTCTTGTGCCAGATCATGTGGGTTTACACTCCTATTAAAGACATGACGAAAAGAGTTAGGTTCATTGCCTAACTGCCAATCTATATCAAATTTATTAGATTTTGAGAATTTTATTAATTCCATCGCATTTTGTAGATTCCACTCATGATCATCACGTAGTAGTACATTCAATGGGAACATAAGCTGGAGGCCGGTGTCCTTGCAAAAATTGTTGATTTCGATCCATTTAGGGCCAGTCATAACAAAAAATGGGAGGAACTTGTGTCTACAGACTTTTTTAAGACTAGAACAGAATGCTTTTACAGTATTATAAGGACAGTGGTTGCAGGATACTGAAGGAATATCATCAGGGCTAAAAATCAAACGGTCTGACATTGTACCTCCAAGCCGAATTCGGGCGGGAGATAAAGCAGATGCGAGATTCTTGAATTGCTTATTACTGAAGTCAACCGTATGGTAATCTTGGATTTCAGAAACATCTATTCCCACGCTGAGGTATGTATCCGGAATGTTCACAGCGACATTTTGTTGATCGATGGTTATAAAGCATTTATCCTGTGCATTATACAATGCTATGATTACAAGCAATGTCATATTGCATGCAAAAGCAGTGGCACATACGGTTACTAGATGTTTGTTTGAAAGCATTTTGTACTTTTAAACCACTGCACACTGTTCACAAGTAAAATCAAATCCACGTGTACATAGACATAGTCAACTTAGAATACTGCTGATATTATAAAGACAATCCTTAATAAATTGCAATCAGCCTGCCATACGTTTGAGATTGAGTTGAGACCATGGCACTATGGTCAGACCACGGAACAACATTAGAATGGCATAAGACCATAGAGCAAAGTTAGTACTACTATTGATTAATAGAGGGAACTTCTAATAATGGTACCGCTAAACGAAACCTAATTTGATTTGTCGAATAAATTTTAATCAACATTGCCATAATATGTTTTTGATAATTTCATTGAAAAAAGCTTGAAAGTTCTATAAATTACATGTATTTTGCTCTAATACAAAAAGTATTAAAGTCGAAGCATTTTTGGCGAGTTATTTTTACTACGTTGCTATAGATAGCGTTGTTTTAAAAAATAACGAATCTAAGTAGAGATACATTTATCACCCCGAAAATAAATCTATCTACATATCTATACTAATATATAAAGCTGAAGAGTGTGTTTGTTTGAACGCGCTAATCGCAGTTACTACGGGTTCGAATTGAAAAATTATTTATGTGTTGGTTAGAGCATTTATCGGGGAAGGCTGTAGGTTATAAAATGGGGACGAAGATACAGCGAGAAATATAAAAAAAAATTGGAATTTATTTAACATTATAGGATTTTGCAAAAACGGTTCATGATACGCAAAAATAATGTATGAAAGAACAATGTCTCTAGTGTTAGTAGTTAGTGTTTATTTTTAGACTTCCTTTTAAATATTGCTGTCATAATCACTTTGTTTTACAACTCTATGAGTATTTGGAAAATTGAGCAGCTCTAATGAAATCCCGTTTCTCCCCGTGAGGCATGGGGCGAGCACATTTGAGTCCTTTTCATTGATCGGTATTATTTACAAATAAGTAGTTAATCAGAATTTTGTGCCTTGCCCGACCGAAGCAACCTATTGTTTCTCCGGGATTCGACCCCAGAGCCTGTCGTGCCTTAGCAAATCTAGGTAATACGTAGAACCGTTTGGTGGTGTTATTCACGATGCTTTTGAATTACGAGATTTATCAAATGACCGAAAATGTAAGAAAAGTCAGGATATTGTATATATACATATATTGCTTTTTTTTTATTGAGTACGTATATTTCCTAGGACAAACACCACACGATCATAATTTCATGATCTTTATTATACAGCAACATTTCCCTCTTATCTCTTTTAACACCACGTAGTGCCAATTATACATTTGTGTTATAGACTTTTTAATGAAATGCTTCTTTTCTTCTAGTGCTATTAAATGCGTTCAATTTCATCATTTACATAAATAAAATATGTAATGTTATATACACATGTTCTTTAACGTATATACTTTTAGTTATAAATATAGTAAGCTAAATATATTGTAATCAATGCAACAAAAACATAACACGTTGTTCATTTAATATCTAAGTATAAAGTCGCCATTTTTAGGGTAAAATATAAGCCCTCTATTGCGAGAATAGCTGAAGGTCAAGTTTGCAGTTAAAAAAAGTTAAAAGTGCGTAAATTAATAAAGCAAGCATTAAAAACTTTGTAATTTAACTTTCAATGATTCTCTGATTGTGGAAAGAATGACATTTAACTAATGGTCGTAAAGATATTTCAGGACAGCTATATAAGGATCACTAAATAAATAATCAACATTATAATATTACAATTTATTTTAAACAAATCCAGAAATAATTAAATTGCAAACAGTTTATTAAAACACTTCCTTAGTTATTTAACGTGACAATATTATGCATTATAATAGAGAAATAACAGTTCACATCGGCTTATCTAAACTCTCTCGACAATGGAATTAAGAGAAGTTGTTCCAGATCTTTTAACATTTGTCGATTATGAAACAAAATATAAAAATAAAATCTCAATATAAGAAAAATAAAGATGCGTTTATCGAATAATTTAACTTAATAAACTCTACTTAGATACAGTATTTATGCTTAAGTAACAAACAGCTCTCACCGTACATATTGTATGTCGCGGATATTTACCGGGAGACATTGAAAATTATATGCGAATATAGTCTCGTTAACATTTGAGCATTTGAGCCTTGGAGTATATAAAGACAGTTGAGTATACGCGAAATTTGAAACATCTTAGACACTTGGGCCGTAAGTTTTAATCTTCGTCTGGCTTTGACATACGATTGACACACGCCAACTAAGTACTCCCTATAATAATCCTAATTGTGAATGAGTTGGGTTGAATTAAGTTAGAGTTCGTCGTGCTTGGGTCCTGAGAATTCTTCGTGGCTTATGAAGCCGTTCTTATCCTTGTCTTCGTGTTGGAAGATCTCCTCGACGAGTTTGTCGTGACTCTCTAGCATTTGTTTGACGTCCTCGCTCATCTCACCACCATCTGGGGGCACCATTTGCTTCTTGAGGTAGTCACTGACCTGTAAAAGAAAGGATTTATCAACTAAAGTAGCTTGACACTTTTTCTATGTAAATCACTTTGTAAAAATGAAGACATTTAAATAAAACGGCTTAAAACCGAAAATACTATATCTCACGACTGCTGCGAAGCATCCGAGACGTCTTTAGTTAAAATAATTTTCAAATAAGTTTAACTAATATATATCGCGATAAATTGGAGTCTATAAGAAATACAATTTTCAAGCCAATTCAGATCTTGTCCTAGGGCAACATAAAAATCCTAAGCTTATATTATTGTCTATAGGGAATTGAATTTCAAATTAAATTTTGATAAATTTTTATTATTATATATTATATTTTTTTATAAGAAAATATTAATGATTTTCACTTATAATAGGTAGCCTATATAATCTAAATAAATGTGCTTTCATATTCAATCCCAATAAAACCAAAGGCTTTTTCAGAAAAATAATAAATTGATTTGAAAAATGTTGGATCGATACCATTAACCAAAACGCCAGTCAAATAAACTATTTGCTAATAATTTGTAAGTTATGTTAACAGACTTTAATAAAACTTTTCAATCGATGTAAAGTACTATAGTAGCGTTTTATAGTACTGTCACAGATTACGCAAAGACCTTCATAAGTAGTTTGTATAATCTGGGGTAATGAAATTGACAATTATTATGTATACTCTGTGAATGCACATATATTTGAAAAACGTAATCTAACACTCATAAGTAAATAAAAAGCAAAGGTTTAATATCGTACGCGTTCTATAATGGTTAAATTGGGATCCTTTATAAAAATGAATGCAGTATAACGTAAGGATGCTTGTAGGATTAGTAAGAAGATGACAAAGAAGAGGGGTTAAGTATTGTCTGTATTTTACGCTAGTAAATAAAGTACTTTTAACGGTTCAAAACGCCAAATGTATGTACTTAATTACAATATTATAACTACAGTCAAGAGCCCCCCTTGACCACGGCTGCTGCAAAGGATCTGAAACGTCGAGCCGTTATTAAAATATATTGTAAATAAGGTAACTCATACATTACGCGTTTTAAACCGTTGAGTGTTTTATGTATAAGCATATGGTTCGTTTGAAGCGAGGCAAAATAATTCAGCTATTTAAAGTTAAGGTGCACTGCCGACCCATTTTCGATGTTCAAATATCCAGAGGGGAAAGTGAAACTTGGATATTAATTCACAGCTTGTTAGACGAAATTTCGAATACTTAGATTTTAATTTATATATATATAACATGTGAAACATATTAAAAATTTTATTCATTCATTTAATCCAAGCGGAGTCGAAATCTAATAATCTAAATAGAGATGGTATAAAGACATAAATTGTTAGAGAAATGGAACGGCACCACTCATACCAGTAGTCGTTTTTGATCCGAAGAGAAGGGAAAAGAAATAGAGGCAACGTATATAGTTATTGAGCAAAGCTTGCGCGTAACCTCAGAATATAACTAGCCCATCACCTACCACCTCCTCAAAGTGAACTGACCTCCTCTCTAGACAATTCTTTGTCACCATCAGTGTCCATCGCTTGAAACGCTAACTCTATACTCACTTCTTCCCTTGACAGCATGTTGTCTTGATCGGCGTCAATTTCCTTGAAAACGTTCGTGGTCGGTGGGGAGTCACCAATGTTGATGAGTTCCACTTCGAAGTGAAGGGTCGCGTGTGGTGGGATGACGTTACCAGCCCCACGTTCTCCGTAGCCAAGGGAAGACGGTATCGTCAATTTACGCTTTTCACCTGTAATATTTAAGGATTTTATAGCGGTGCTGTAACTGTTACTCAGTTTAAGATATCCTGGTTTCGAAGGCCAAGAAGAATTATAAATATACTCTCATAGGTAGAAAAATTTCAGAATTATTGGGAGTACTAGCACTAAATAGCAGAGTTTTTAGGTAATTCGTAAATTTAATATTCAAATAACCCTTCCCCCGCCGTCAGCGGGGGTTTCCCCCTCTCTGTTTCTTATACGAATGCAACTAAAATAAAGTTATTTTTATGCTTGAGGAGGACAGACAAGCACTCACTTGACGGTAGGTAAAATAAATCTAAATAAGATGCGCTCTCGACCTATTTTGACTTTGGATATCCAAAAATCCACAGACTGAAACCGAAACGCGACTAAACTTGACGGCTTCTCATCTGTGGACATCCTTCGTGACCGGAACAGAATTCGGTAATTCCTACCACCCTTTTAATATTGAGATTTCCAGGCGACGTTAGTAGGTTTAAAAAATTTACAAATTGATTTGAAAAATGTTGGATCCAGTGGTGTCGAACCCATGACCCGTTGACAATTACATTTACAACAAGTCCGTCAAGGGCCATCAAAGATGACTACTTTTGAGAGCATCATTGATAAAATATATTTTTACTAGCCTAAACTGTAGTAGGGTTTCCCGACCGAATGGAAAAGAGGGGTGGTTAGAAAAAATTCTTACCGACACACATGTCAACCAGACCCTCGTCCCAACCCTTGATGACTTGACCTACACCAAGCTGGAATGTGAAAGGTTGATCACGGTCCCAACTGAAATGCAAAAACAAGGTAAATTAATAATGTTCTTACTTACATTAAAATGGACGTCTATAAAAGTTTAAGTAATAGTAATACCGTAGTAAATCGATGGAAATTTTTATGTCTATATTAAACGTAAATACATATTTAAATAAAACACTTCAACACTTTAAAACCGCGATATATTTTAGTTAAACTTGTTTGAAAACTATTTTTAGCTACGGCCCGACGATTCCAATTTAACTAAAATATATCGCGCTTTAAACCGTTAGTGTTTTATTTAAATGAGTACTATTCGCGTAAACTACAGACAGTATGTAAATACATACATAACTGAGTGAGTAATCTAGAACGACTCACTAACTAAAAAAAATGTTTTTGTCTGTAACACGCTAAACTCCGTAAGTACTTCCCCCCTCGGGGCACCCTTGGTCTAGCCGCAAACACGGCGAGCGCTGTCGCGCTCGCCCAAAACGCCCGGTTAGTATTCGTGGCTCCTTAGGAACACAATACGTAAGAGTCCATTAAAAAAAAAAAAAACCGTAAGTACTTGACGGGTTCATTGGTGTATTTAAGGCAAAATATGGCTGATCAACGGGTAATGGGTGTTTGTATTTTTCAATTTATAATTTTTCCGAAAAATGTTAGACTTCGTCTGGAAACATGGATATTAAATGGGTGGTAAGAATATAAGTCCACAGATGAAAAAGCCGTGAAGCTTAATCGCGTTTGGGTTTCAATCTGGATTTCTGATTATCTAAGGCCAAAAAAAAGGTCGACAGGCGCATCTTGTTTAGATTGTATAGGCTGGGGTATATCACCTACCATCAAGTGAATATCTCATTAAATCTCTATCATTAAAAAAAAACAGGAGAATGTTATACTAGCCTTGATTTGCTTGCATAAAAATGACATTTAAAACAATATAAGACATTTGACTATTTGCTTCTGCATACATTCACTTTTATACCGGGTTTTTCCATTACGCAAAGGCCAGAGCTTTTATTTATACAAAAGATAATGCGGCCAACATACTTATGTATATATTTTAACAAATAAAATAACATAGAAATCTTGAATATTCTACTGTAGCAGCTTTAACCGCGACGTTATGTTATAAATAGGCTGTGTTTTCTTTTCGCAATGTTGGTATTCATGTTTTTTTAAGAGGAGGACAGAGAAGCATGAGGTGGACCCTAGTCTAGTTGGCTTTGAAATTCGAAAGTTCAGACTTAAACCGAAACACGATTAACCTTCACGGCTGGTGTCCATGGTGGTTCGTAGACCAGAATGATATTTTGGTATTCCTACCACCCACTTAATATCCAGATTTCCAGACGAACTTCAACGTGTTAAAGAAAAAAATATTAATTGTTTAGATAAGGACGGAGAAAGTGGTGATCGAACCCAAGACCTGATGATCATTAACCATACATTGCCACCATAACACCAACGTGGCCGTCAAAATTTTATAAAAGTAAATTCCTTTCATTTTGTCATCTTCTCTCAAATTGTAAATAACATTTGAGTGATGCTGATAAGAAATGGTAACTGTTAAACTATGTTTTTACATTAAAACCCTATCCCCTCCACGGTTACATGGGGCATACACACTGTTCGATTGAAGGTATTTTGAATACTCAAAAACGCGCGAGGTACTATGTGCGGGTTTAAAAATTAAGCTACGGTGACTGTCATCAGTTTTACTTTTATTAAGTGTGAGTTCTACCAATTTGTACCGAGTGACGACACAGTTGATTGAATATTTATTTTACATTTATCGCTTTATATGAAGAAGGATTTTAATGTTGCCATCCCATATATTTATTGTATGCGGCTTATAGCATTGAGGGTAGTTCGTCCATACATTTCGGCATTGTGACCAGACCATCAGATAAATTGGTTCAGGGAATAACACTATTAACGTAGGCCTTTGTTTGAAAGTACAGTTTGCTGCATCCATTACTCCGCTTACAGCATACGCTGAATTCAGATTATTTAAGCCAGCTTTGTCTACGAAGGCTTATGCTATGTATTGTTGCGGAGTGTTCGGTCAATTCTTACCGTTACTAGATAACAAAACAGTCTAATCATGCGACTCATATAAAACAGTACAAATGGGATTCAACTCGCACATTTAACGGATTAAAACGCGAAATATATTTGTTGGTTGATTATTGTCTACAGCCCGACGTTTCGATGCTTTTCAGCAGTGACACGTGATTGAGGCAGGCGAAATATGAATTAACATTATGTTTATATTCAGCGTGTTTAACGGTTTAGTTTTTTTTAATGAAATTACATTTGACTAAAAATAGCTAAACAAAGATATCGTTTGTTGGAGGAGAAAACTTTGATAATAACTAAATAAAAAAAAATCAGCAAAGTTTAATACTGATTCAGTTGAGTACACCACGTATGATTTGAAAACTCAACACGAAAAATATTATTGTATTTAAACATTATTATTAATATATAAATTACACTGATTTAAAAAAACGATGACACGAGCGGGCTCCGAAACCACGTTGTGACGTTCTTCCGCCAATTTGTAGTAAAAAATTTGGATGTTGCTAAATTATTTTGTACAATGAAAAACTTTGCCAGAATCCTCTATCCATCTATTGATCTTCATAATTACGTCAGATAGCAAAATCAGTATCTCAGTTTGAGAGAAAGATAATAGCTCGATTCAAACGACCGTAAAACAATCCAGAAGGCTCTGCATTGAACCTATCTCAACGCTTTAATAATATTTTAGCTGTTGATGACATTCAGGGAATTGGTTCTCTAATATTTAAACTCGATAACCTCTGCGGACAAAGGACCAGCTCAATTATAGTCCATGTTAAGAAACGTGAAAATATTAAGAGCTTTGTCAATTCAAACTAGACGTATTTGCAATGATTATTGTAGATAAGATACCAGCCCTTTTGTTTTTTAAGAGTATTCATTGTTATAACCCTTTATATATTTTCTCTCCTTTACTTCAAGTTGCCTAGAAGAGATAGCTGCTTAGCGATAAGGGCGCCTTTTATTGATAAGTTAGTTCGGAAGTTTTTTCTCTTTTTTTGTTTTGTGTTAAAAGAAAATAAATACTATGAGAATATCATCAGCTCTTTTAGTTTCCCATTGAAACCTTTATCATCATATCATCTTTATCTACCACCAATTTAATATCCAGATTTTCTCACGACGTTCAACGTGTTCAGAAAAATTATAAATTTATTAGACCCGACACGATTACGATTAGACCAACGAGGCAGTCATAAGAGAGAAAGAAGGAAGATTCCTCTGTTCTTATTTCAAAATTTTTACGACACGTCAGCAACTTATTTTAAAAGTTTATCCCAAATGTGGGAATCGTAAATTACATCGTTTAATTTTTAATTGATTTAACATAAATGTATACGATTACTCAACTATCGATTAAAGTTTTTGAAAGTTATTTTATAACGACGTAAACGGCCAGAGATTGGCTCAATTTTGTCGAAATGTTTACGGAGGCGACATTAAATGCAGCTTTGTTTACAATTAAACCTCATATTTAGATAGTGATCGGCCATTGACCATTCGGGCATTACACTACGGTTAATTAAAGCCTCCAAACTCCCTGTCCGTTATATATGTTGCAACACGTAATACACCAATAAACACGAGCAAAAACAACAGGACTGTAGTGAGTGAAAGTTTATTATCTATTAACAATATTATAAAGCTGAAGAGTGTCTTGAAACGCGCCAAAGTCAGAAATGGATCAAAGTACCCAAAAAACATATGAAAGAATTATTCTTATTATATCATTTAACCTAAAGCCTTATTCTACATAAAAATATATTTTCAAATCGAACTAGTAGTTCTTGCGGTTAGCGCGTTCAAACAAAGAAACTCTTCAGCCTTATAATATTAATATAGATAGAAATATTTTTCTTGCGTGTATGCTGATCTATGCTGCAGAAAATAATTTATTAATTCTGATATGAAGTTATAAAATTGAGTAAATTTTCCTTACATACACACCCGAACACTGCTTCTTACCTAAATTTTACGAACAGCATAGATATAATAATAATATTGTCATTTTTTCATATAAATCAATATGAATCTGTACTAATACATATAAAGTTGAAGAGTTTGTTTGTTTGAACACGCTAACCTCAGGGATTACTAAAACATCGCACTGCAACTAATATAAACGAAGAAACAGCGGGAAATGTGAAAAAATCGAGGGAAATATTCAACTTTGTGGGTTTCCGATGCGTACGCTGCGAAAACGTTTCAAGATACCCAAACAAAATGTATGAAAGAATGACTCCTCTTTAAATGATGTAAAAAAATGTCCGCGACATTATATGTATATCTTTTAAGATTCAGTTGCAACAACGACTGGACGCGGGTTAAGAAAAAGGTTCGCAATAACAATTTTTGTTGCCCAAAATAACTATTCTACGCCGACGAAATCGCTGATACATCTAGTGTTAACATAAAACAATAGCAACGGGTTAAGCTCTATAACTTTCCTATTACCAGAACTGTGCGTCCAACAGTGGGCCAATAATATAAACAAACAGAATAGGTGTTGCGTGGTGCCAGTCGATTATTAAATAATTCAAGATTCTCTCAGGTATTGTTGTGTAACACGTACGTGAATCTCTATTCGCTTTCGCATAAGTGACCATTAGTTGTCTACCTCGTTTCGTATCCTTGTATTGCGTAATGGAGGACGTCGGAGGCATAAAATACATATATTATCTGGTTAGGCAAGTCTGATGGAGAAATTGGCAAATTATAATCTCTTAAGTATATAGTTCTGACCGCCTCCGTCGCCAAATGGTTAAACGTGATGCCAAACATTGTCTTAAGCGCGACGGCTTCTGGGTTCGAATTCCAGTGAAACAAAAAATTGTTTCGGTCGGGCAGGGCACAGAAGTCTGATCCACTACTTGCCTGTTAAAAAGAAACGATCAGTGAAACGGACACAGAAATGTGTTCACCCCATGGGGCATGCCCCA